GGCGGCACGAGACGCGGGACTCCTCCACTCGCGGGCTCAGCCGCCTGCGGAAAGTACGCCGTCAACGCATCATCCATCACTCTTCCGCCCTGCGCCGCCGATGCCCCCCTCAGCCGGGATGCCCCCCTGCGGCAATGCCAGCAGCAACACCCACAGCGGAGCCTCCCGCGTGCGCCTAGGGCAAAGACCACGCCCCCCCCCCCCCCATTCACAAGAACAAGTCAAGGGACACGGAACGAACCCGTTGCGCCCTCGGAGTCCGCTCTGGCGGCCAAGCCAATGGTGACCTTCGCAAACAATTGAGGTTTAGGCACCCGATGGCGCACTTCCCCTTCTTATTGCTCAGCGAAGGCAACGCCCGTGCTGCTGCACATTAACACGCAGTGAAGGAGCAGCGGCACCGTGGAGGAAAACAGATGCCGGGGCATGTTGGGCTCCTCTCTTTCGTTCCCCCTCCTTGCGGTGGATCCGCCCAGGCCGCGAACGGTTGCTTGTGTGCGGTGTGTGTTTGTGCGTTGTGTGCTGGGACTTCAGAGCCTTCAAAGCGCACAGCAGCGGCAAAGAGCGTTTGCTCTCTCTCTTTCTCTCTCACTTCCTTGGGGGAGGGCTGTAGGGAAGAGGAAGGAGCCAAAAGAAAAAAAGTAGCCTGCAGAGAACAACTCCCCAGCCCAAGTGAAGGCGCATCAACTGCGCAGCATGTCTCCCCCAGACGCCGCCCCGATGCGCAAACCCAATGAGAGCAAAAAAGCGCACCGGTGGCCGTCACGAATTGGCCGGTACGAAAGATATTGGCGCTTCTCTTCCCGGTCTACGGCGGTGGTGTGCACACGCAAGCCTTCCGTTACCGCCCCCCGACATTGTGAGAAACCATTGCCGGGGCCGGCCGCGAAGATACACCGCGACCGGGCAGAGAAGGGTGTCATGCATTTGCGTGGTAAGCACGCAAACACACACTTAGAAAAAAAAAGCGCACAGAGACACCTCGGCCATTGCTTCATATGTTCCAGCTTTTCCCTCGTCGCTTGAGACTGAAGCGATGTGGACACCAAAGAAAACTTCGTTCTGACCTGTGCCCACCTCTGGCGGCAAGCAGAACTAACTCCAATGTACGCAGAGCCAGTAACAGAGGAAGCAGCGGCTGTGGCGTAGCGGTATCCATGACCAATGCCGGCGAGGACACGGACTACGCGGCCCAACGAGTTGTACGCGTCCATTTGTCCCAAGCTCTGTCGTGCTTTTCACAAAACGAAGCGCACAGAGACTTGCGCGGTCGACGGCCAGCAATTTGACATGAAACGGGGCAAACCTCTCTATGGACTTGCAGCGTCCAGCTTTCCCAATTGCGTGTGCCCCACAAACGCCTTCAGACAACTACCCTCAATCCGAGCGTCGACCACCGGAGAAGATGTGTTGTGGCGCTCCTAATGAGGGCCCGAACATCCCATACAACCCCCACCCACCAGGAACCAGTGCAGGTTTTCACTGCGAAGCCGTCATTTTGCTTATTTTTTTTCCCCTCCTTCCTCAGCCTCCCTTCTACGCACCCTTAGCTCGCAAGCACGGCAGGAGGGGAAAGGGGAGAGAGAAGCACAAGGGTCGCCTCCATTCACTGAGCATAAACGTCAGTGCATGTGGGAAACAAACGTATTTTTCCCACTTTTGAATTTGTCAGAATTCGACTCTCATCGATCTCCGCGCCAGTCCCCGCTAATTCCCCCCTTTCACCCACGCACCCAACGAGAAAACAAAGTGATTGAGGCGACATCATCGTCCCTCTTGTGTTTCACTCATTCTCTCTAGAACACACGCAAGTGAGACGCTATTCGAAAGAAAAAATCTCACTGCAAAACAAGAGACGGATGTTGTTTTTTGCTTGTTTGTTTGTTTATGACCAACGCAAACCCCCCAGCCGCGGCTAGCAACCAGTCACAGTTCTAATAGCTTCATAAAGCTTCAGTTCATTTGGCAAATACAGTCGCTCGTGCAAGGGATGGGGTGTATCAAGAGCGCAGACACGCATGGGTGGGGCCTCCAAGGAAAGAAAGCAGTCCTCTGTTATGCAGGAAAGAATTTCGGCCCCAATCCCGCTCGTCTTGGAAGCCTCGTGGGTCACAATAACGTGTCCTGTTTTTCGGACGGATTCCGAGACCATCTCACGATCCCACGGTTTCAAGGTACGGAGATCGATGAGTTCCACCGAGATGCCATCCTGGGCCGCGAGCTCAGCGGCCTTCATCGCCACACCAACCTGCGCGCCGTATGTCACAACCGTGACGTTGCTCCCCTCGCATACAAGCCTTCCTTTGCCGAGCGGAATCGTGTAATACCCGGGGTCCACTGCCTCCACCACGGCACGATAGAGACGTTTGGGCTCAAAAAAGATGCACGGGTCCTCCTCTTCCACGCACTGTAGCAGCAGCCCCTTTGCTTCGGATGGGGTGGAGGGCATGACGATCTTTATGCCTGCGCAGTGGTTAAAAAAGCCCTCCACGCTCTGCGAATGGTACATCCCTCCATGCCCGACGGCAGAGCTCGGCGATCGGATGACGAGACCCCCGCAGTGAAAGTGACCACCGGAGCGAAACCGCATCTTGGCCGCCTCCGTCACAATCTGATCAAAGGCCGGAAATATGTAATCGGCAAACTGCACCTCCGCGATGGGCTTCCACCCAACAGATGCCATTCCAACAGCGAATCCTACAATGCCTTGCTCAGACAACGGGGCATCAAAGACCCGCTTTGAGCCGTGTTTCTTGGCCAAGTTGAGGGAACACCTGAACACCCCGCCAAAGGCGACATCTTCTCCAAATACGACCGTTTTCTCATCTCTGGTGAGTGCCTGATCAAGGGCGGAATTAATGGCCTGAAAGTAATTCATCTCCACAGCTCCGCGTGAAACATCACTCTCCTGTGCGGAAGGAGCAGCTACCGCATGCTGGCATCGGGAAGTTGCAGCAGAAGAGGAAAAGGGCGAAAAAAGGGATACAACGTGTGCAGACCCAAATCGCCGCAGCATTCCTGAGCACTCGCTTCGTAAATAACAATAGCAGACGCGTAGGTACTAGTTCTGATCGCAGTATCAAACTCAATGAAGTCATCCAAGGAGAAGTAACAAGGAAAAAAAAACAGAAAAGAAATTGGGAGAAAACAAGACAGAGACAAAACAAAGAAAACAGAGGGCAATCGTCTGCCAACTCTCCAGGAGGCCCTGGCAAACTGTTGTCACCGTCATGGCAAACCAAGACACTACCAATAGGAGAAATTCACCTGTGACAAGATGTGGTGCGCCCGTGGTATTTGCACTAAATTGTAGGGGTCCGCCTGGCAAGATGCATGGCCACCAAGTGCCCCACATCGCGGCGGTGAAGCATCTCGGAGTGAAACTGCTGCACCACCAAGTGAACTCTCCGCTGCCGTGCCTGCAGACACCGACACGCCAACCTGCACCACAGACGATACTGAAGGCGACGGTGACTGCACGTCGCAACTGCCTTTCAAGACTTCCTCATTGATCTCAACAACACTGGGCGAGTGGGAGCCTTCCTCCGCCTCCTCCTCCTCCTCCTCCTCCTGCTGTTTCCTCCTCCTCTGCGGCGAGGCCGATTTGCCGTAGGCAAGTTGTTCCAGAGAAATCATTTGTTCTATTGTGGGAGCGACGCCATTGCTTCGTCCACTTCCGGGTTGCGTCGCTTCGCCCGCAGAGCACGGCTCCTGCGGTGGGGAAGAAACTCCAGAAGAGACTCTCTCTTTCTGCCCTCGTGCGCTTCGGCCGAGGATTTGCTCCGCGTAAGCCTCCTCGTTAAAAGGAGGCTGCGTTGATGACGTTGGTGTCCTCTGCTGGCTCTGGCTGCGTTTCACAGAAACAGTTCCCAAGGAGACGGACGCCACCGCATTAGGGGCATTCCGTAAGGATTCCGCACGAAGACGCAACTCACGAGCCCTTCCCGCGAGCAACTCTATCTCCGCAAAGATTGTGTCGCTGCCTAACCAGCTTGCGATCTCCTCCATCTGCGTGCGTGGGAAACGCACCTGCGTGGCTTCCTTAGACGCCGGGGAGGACGCAAGTGAGGAGGTCTTGCGAGAAGCACCAGCAACTTCCCGCGTGCTTCTCGTCACCCCTCTCGATTGATCGCCTGCCGTAACAAAGTGCTGCGCCTTATATGGGTACACAGATGAACGGCCGGCCATGTATGGAACTTTTTTTGTTGAGGCGCGCTCACGCGGCAAATTGCCGGCCCGCGTGTCATGGATGCCGCCCCCCCTAGTCTGCCCTGGCTTCATTGCCAAGCCACCCCTCCCCACATACGCGCACGCAACTCTGCACCCAGCAGCCAGACGGAAAGAGAGCAATAAAAAAAAAAGGGGCGGCGCTGCTTCTGCACACGTAGCCAATGGAAATCAAGCCGCATTTAGCCCTCACAGAGCCCCCTCAAAAAAAAAATAATAAATAAATAAATAAATCTGAGACATGAAAAGGCGAAACCCCCAAAGAAAAGAAAAAAAGGCCGGGCACTACACTCTTTACATGCGCAACAAAAGAGGGTCTCTCCGTTGCGGTTGAATGGCGGTAGTTTCAAGGCAGCGGTTGTCGGAAGCCTGAGCGAAACTCTTTATTCTGCGCGACCGTGAGACGATTGATAACGCCAAGTTCCTGCTGCGACCAGTGTTTCTCCTCCATATCTGAGGCGCCCTGGGCAAGGAGCAGCAGCTCGTTATTGCGTCTACGCTCCTCAGCCTTGAGGACGGCGAATTCTGTCCGTCGGTCCTTGCGTTTTTGCTTCAGCGCGTCGCGCACCAGAAGCGCCCGCTGCGCCTCTTCCTCGTTTTTCCTCGCCTTCAGCTTTGCTGCCTCCTGCGCTTTGGTCTTCAGCTCGTCAGCCCTTGCGCGACGCGTGTTTTGGCGCCAGTTGGCGCACATGGCGCTGAGAGCGTCTAATTTATCACGTTCCCCCTGTCGCACAGCACCAAATCGCGTTCGCCGCTCCTCTTCTAACCGCGCGCTCTCCTCCTTTGCTTGGAGAAGCTTTTCCCGCAGCGCCGCAACACACAGCCCACCATACGCCGAGTCCTCTGAACCCCCATCCTGTAGCCGGACATTTTTCTCGTGCATTTCTGCCTTCCTTTGACGATTGCGCTCCCGCAGCTGACGAATCTCTTGGATGAGGATGAGACGTTGCGTTCTCAGTCGTCCCTCCTCTTCCAGTGCAGCCTCCCGCAGCTGCTTGGTCTCCGCCTTGACATCCGCCGCGGCAGAGAGGCGAACTCGCTGCGCCTGATCGATGGCCTTCCTTCGATTCTCGTCCAACTCTTGGCGCAGTTTGGAAGCTTGCTTACGCTGCTTCGCGGCCTTCTGCTGCCTCGCTGCGGCGAAGGAACCCAATTGCAAGGCAAGATCCGCCCGCACCTGGGAGGACACAATGTGTTTCCTCTCCTCCACTGCCCTTCGCTTTTGCAGAGCATTGTTGCTGGCACCCGCAATTTGGGCTTTGCGGCTCAAGAACTGAACCCTGCGCTGTTGGGCCTCGCGTGTCTCTTCCTGGCGTTGCCACTCCTCGAATTCCCGGGAGTTATGCAGGGCTTCCTCCATCTCCTCAAGGGACTTCTTCTGTTCCTCCATCTGCTTCAGGTACGTCTGCGCCTCTCTTCGAATGGCGGCGGCCGTCATACGCACGGCGACGGGCTTCGCAAGCATCTGCCGCAGTTCTTCCGGAGAGGCGTGGAGGGGCTCGGCGTGGCACACTGGCGGTTCTTCGGTATTTTTATTTTGCCTTGGCTGTCGTTTCATAAAGCTAAAACCAATTGGCTCCGTGGGGCTGCGTCTGTGCCTGGCGATGTTTTCTGGTGGCTTCGTGTAGTCTATTCGCGGGGGTCGCTTCTCGGGAATGGTGTACAGCATTGCCCGCACCTCCTCGGGCGGAAGTTTGTCCGGGCGTTCTTCAGGGGCACTCGCCACCCGCGACGGTTGCGGCGCCACGGTTCGGGCACTTGGTTGCTTCACGTCTTGTGCATCCTCCGCCCCATCGGCCCTCACAACCCGGGCAGCCGTCTTGTCCAGTAGCCACTGAATGACGTCTTCGCGGGCGTGGGGGGTGATTTCTAGCAAAGGCCGCAAGACACTAGTCGTGATAAAATTCACATCATAGTGCTTACTCCAGTATGGGTTGGAGTATTCCATGAGACTCGCTGGATCGAGCATGTACTCTAGATACTCTACAAGACGCGGTGTGGTGGTGCAGCGATGGATGAGTTCACGTACGCGGTGGCCGCCCAGCACGGTGTACTGAAAAACCATCAAGTAGGCGACGAGGTACATGGAACACTTATTGGTCACAATGTGCCGCATGCAATCTCGGTACCCTCTCACCATGCCCTCCGACAACTTCTCAAAGTGCAGGGTGCCCAAGACGATTTCACGAACCAGCGCCTCCTCCTCCTCATTGAGGGACGGGCAGCTCTCTAAGGCTTCGTCAAGTATCAGCTCGGGTGAGTTCGTAAGGGAGTCCTGAAGACACCGGGTGACAATGTCGGTCATAAGCTCCCATAGGCCCCGCGGTTTCATTGGCCCTTAACTGGAATAGACACTAGCGCCCCACCCCTGACGCAAGCGCGGAGAGGGGCAGAAAGAAAGAGAGAAACTAAATAAATAAAGAATAAAAAGACACGTAAGGAAAAAAAAAAAACAACAACAACAACAAGGTCCCGGAAAAGGCTGCCCATGCCGTTTTGTCGGTGGACGCCCCAGCGCCCCGATGAAAGAAAGCGGCGAGGTAAAGTATGTATCCTGTCAAAACAAATTGCTAACGACCCTTTTTCATCCCCTGCTTCCTACAGATGCCCGGCACGAATGCCCTCGCCGTCCTTGGCGCTGACGTTGAGCGTCAATCCATTGCTGTCCAGGTAAAACGCCCCAGCCCCGCGCTCCTTCACCATCTTGGCAATCGCCCGTGACGCCTCCAGGCTGCGCAACGTGATAAAGGCGGGGTTCTTCTGCACGGCATCACCGATGAGTTTCGCCGCCTCTGCCTCACCCTCCGCCAACAGGATCGCGCCCCTCTTTTCCTGCTCAGCCTGCTCCACACGCCACTTGGCACGCTCGGCCATCTGCTGCGCCACCTGTTTGGCCTCCACTGCGCTGGTGTACTCCTTCCCAAAGCTCATCTGGGTAATGGACACGTCCGTGATGTCAATGTGAAATCGTTTGGCGCGCTCCGCCAGCATGACGGCGATCCGGTGACTCACCTCAGGGCGTTTCACAAGAAGATCCGAGGCGTTGAACTGCGCTATCACCGCACGGATAATCTCGTTGACGAGCGACGGCAAGACGATCTCCGCGTACTCCATGCCCAGGTTGCGGTAGACGTGTGACAGGTTGTTTACGCTCGGGTGGTAGAGCACACGCACCGCCAGATTCACCGTCTGCAAGTCGCGGCTTCCGGTTGCCGTCATCACCTCCGTCGGTTTGTTGCGGATGTCAAACACAACGGGCGTCTCAAGAAACGGAATGGAAAAGTTTGCGCCCTCGCCGTACGTCGTGTCGCCCAGCCCTGTAATGGCGTTAAACTTCACCGCGCGGCACCCACCATCCACAAAGTAAATTGACTTGTAAAGCCCCGTCCCGACAAGGCCGGTAAACCCAACGAGAGCAAAGAGACCAGTGATATCGCCAAAACTACCCAAGCGCTTCCGCATCTCCGCCGCGACGCGAGAGAAGTCGGGTCCAGGTGGTACCTTCGCCATTAAATGTATCAAATAATGCGTTATATTTAATAATTATTTGTAGTGCTCTCTCGCGGGGTGTGTGTGTGTGTGTTGAGACTATTGTCTTGCTTACGTAACGTGCTCAGTCCGATGGAAACAAGAAAAAAAAAGAATCCAGGGAGAATGCGAATGCACAGCTACAGTTTCACATAAATTGCCGTGGGAGCGACCTCAAAAGAGAGGGTGCACAGAGAGCGATGCACGCACGCACACACGCATATATATATATTTATATATACAGGGGGAGAGGGCGGTCACAAGCGGGTACGGCGCCCGATTGTGGGATCGAGTCTGTCCCCCGGCCAGGGGCACGGCCCATGCTGGGGCTGTGGGGCCAGGCGAGGACTGAGCTGCACGTCAAGCACCACTGCACTGTATTTGCTGATCTGCCTCAAGCACGGCAAAGCCCAGATCAATGCCCAAGTCCACGGTGCGGTGGCGGCCGCCAAGCATCACAGCAGCGACGACCAACTTACTAAACGAGCCGAGAGAGCCTACAAAAGACACCGCCGACCCTGGCAGGGACAAGGACAAGCCACAACCCGCGAAGGCACTGATAACCTCAAATAGCGAACGTGTCATGGCATCAAAACGCGTCCCCACCAACTCCTGTGCAAGCCATCCCTCCTCGCCAAAGAGAAGACAGAGCATGGCCAGAAACAGGCAAAAAAGTCGAGAAGTGAGAAGTCGCACCATGGAGGTGCGAAACACCTGTTTCCATTTCCTGTACGTACGGTCTGTTGGAATAGGAAGGGCTGGCAAAAACATACAAAGAATCGTGAGGGCAATGTGTGCGTTGCTGTACTCCAAGCACGAAACAAATGAAGCGGCGGCAAACCGCACCACGGCAGCCTGGCAGAGGGAGAGAAATATTTTGTATGCCGTAGAGAAGGGGGCAAGGAGCCCATTGCCGCTCCATTGCTGAACCCAGAAAGGGATGGCCTGGACCAGGGTGATGAAGCACCAAGCCACCCCGAGATAGAAGGTCTCGCTGCGTACAAACAAAAAGGCGTGAAATGAGACGGGTTGGTCACTTGACAACGTGTCGCGAAACCCTTTCTCCCATGGACTGGCGGGAAAAACTTCATCGCGCACATCACTGAGAGGAAAGATGTCCCTCGCAAGCTGGTGCCCCGGCGCAGCAAATATAGTGTGCAAATCCTCATGCAGTAAAGGCGCGGTCGGGCTTTCCCCATCGCCTGTAGGCGACGATGGGCAGCGCCTGCACACTCGACGCAGTACGCGAAACACAAACCACTCCATGTAGAAAAAGCCACGCAATACCACCGGAAACAGTGTAAATCCCAGTCCACACCCTATCGTTACCATCAGCACCACAGCGGGGTCCCTGGTGTACTGCTCCATTGGAAGGAAGATGGAACCGTGAAAGGAGGCGATTGCCATCTCAAACACCTCCAAGGAGCTTAGGTTAGACTGATTAAATATTGCCAAAAGAGACATCAGGGCACCGTTTACGATAACAAAGTACAGTAACGGTGTAAGGAGGCAAATGACGGAGGTGTGCCAAAGCCGCTGCGCGTACCTGCGCCTTGAGGCTCGCAATCGTCCTTCTAGGAAAGAATCCCCAGGGCATCGTTTGAGCACAGGCCACATTCTATTCAGCATCCATATGCGCAGCAGTGGTTGGTGGGCACTCGTGAAGACCATCCCTCCCCCAATCATAAGGGCGTGTCGCAGGAGATTTGTGCCCTGCTTCCATCTCGAAACATCCACCGTCTGCAGCCCACAGCAACAGACGGAAGACACGGCGACGAAAAAGGCGTCAATGTACGGCAGATCGGCCTCTAGCGCGTAGAATAGCAAAGACCCAATGAACGCAAGAAGTAATATGTAGGCCACATGCATCAACAGGTACCACTTCTTAAGGAAATTAATATGGCTCGCTATGGAATACTGCGTGTTCGAAAGGGGCAAGACGATGGGACCCACATATTCAAGAAGCTGCGAACTGCGTGTGGCAGCTTCAGCCTCAGTTCCAAACGTGAACTGGGGCTCGCCAGATAAATTTCCACCGTTCCCGTCCAGCCCACCGCGCAAGACTGAAATCCCACTCCCTACAAGCGGCAACTGCCTCAACGACACGCCTTTGCCCACGGTGGAGGCACACGATGCCTCTACCCCCTCCGAGCGAGCTGGCGACGCTTGAAGAGCTGTCCCCCGGCCACTCATGCGGCAGCTTAACCTCATAGCCACACAGCAACACGCAAGCAAAGAGCGAAGAAGAAGAAAGCAAAAAAAAAAAACAAGGCATCCACGCGAGAGATGCTGCACAGGGGAGACACATCACAAGGTGATATGGTGTCCAAACACACACACACACAAACACAAACACACATATATACATATACTGGTCTTTCATAAAATAAAAAAAGGTCAACAGTGCCAGTCACGTCTAGACACCGCGTAATTGGCTTCCATTTGAAGCCACATGGCCATCGTCTCTTACTGCATTCACCCGTACCCAAGTCTATCACGTGAGCAAAGCTCACGCAGGGCAAAACAGAAGAAAATGGCCCATAAAATTTACATCCCGTCGTTTGGGGTCCATGCATGATGCATTTACTCCCGCTCAAGAAGACCACCATACAAGTTGCAAAGTGAAGGCACGTAGTAGTGGTCTCCGTTGACCTTCTGCTTGAGTTGAGTTCCACGAGACACCCTAAGCTGTTCAGTTTTGCTGCAACCGCGGGTGTCTAACAGTGGCAGGTGCAATGCACGTCGCTGGTTATAATGCGATACTGCCATTTCAGAGGCCTTGTGCTGCCAGTTCGCCTCCACAGCGCGTTTTTTTTCACTCAAGCCCTGCTGCGCCCAAAGCTGCGCTACGAGCACGTTCCGATACGATGCGAGGCTCCGCTTCTCGAGTTCCTTCTGCTTTTCCCGAAGCTTCCCCTCCACTAGCTGTCGTTTATTTTCCTCCGCAGCGTTATGCGCATCCCCCTCCAAGTATGAAGTCATCGCCTTCAGTCGAGCTGCCTCGGCGTAGCGGCCCGCGGCTGCCAAACGGCTTGCTTTTGCCTGCGTCTCCATGTAAGCTGGGGCCAACGTCACAGACCGATGCGCCTCCTCAGCCTCAACCCTTGCCGAGTACGCCTGCATCTCCTCCTCGTGCGCTCTACACAACTCGCTGTACCTACTGTGGAGGGCCTCCTTCAAGCGAATCTCCTCCATCGCCGCGCATAAGCGGGTATCCTTGCGGCAGCACTCTCTTGCGTCCTGAAACGCCTTCCACTCGATCTCCTGTTGCACCTTAAGTTCCTGCTGACGCCTTCGCCGCTCTTCCTCGATCCGGCGCTGCCTTGCCTCATCGGCCTCCTGCGCCTGCGCGTAGTGACCCTTGGAGGCCAGCAGGGTGATCTTGCGGCGACTACTGACACTGTCCCGCATTTTCCGCGACGCCTCGCCCCTTCCCTTTGAGCCCTTACCCCTTCCGCAGCTGGCAACCACAAGACGAGGTCGAGGATAACAGAAAATGAGGCCGGAGCCAAACAAGGGAGACAGCAAGGCAAACGAAGAAAGCAAAAAAAAAAAAAGAGGTTTACAAAAAAGTCAAACACGTCATAGGAAACTCCAACAAGAACCTTTTTTCATACTATTGTTGCTACTGCTCGCGTGTCAACACATTTCCCTGGCAGGGGCCTCAAAAGCCAAGCGCCAGCGTTGGAAAATTGTGAAGGCCATCGCCGCACACACACACACACACATAGGAAGAAGAAGGAAAAAAAACAACCACCGACGAGACCTCACCACACTGTCCACGCAG